AATTGCTCAATCAAAATTTTTATTCAAACATTGAATTTAATTTTTGCGCTGTTTTTAAAAATATCAATTGAATTGTTTTTGAACTGTAGAAAACATCTTTTCCTCAGTCTTAATCTATTCTGTAGTATTCCAAAATCAAACTATCAAACTAACTATATCCTACTACGGATATGAAAATATAAAGCCATACTCTATGATTATATAAAACATTGAGTGTATGTTACATACCCCAATGAAAACTGTAATTATTGAAATCTACGTACGAATTATTTTTCCGTATCAATACCCTTGATATTTTTTGCTACTATCACAGGAAAAACTAATAACAAAATTTTCATTCAGTTATTCGAATTTAGTTAACTAAAAAAAGCGATGGCTTTATAACTGTCATAGCATTACATTTAAATGGGTTATGGCTTGTAGTGCAACTCAGGGTGACCCTATGCGAAAACCGAATACTCAGATGCAATATATCCAAATTGTGAGTTCCGAGTATGACGAAAGGCTCGTCCTAAATTATACTGTCAATCACAGGCCATCTATTCTAAATGAGTTATTAAGAAAGATTATAGCATCATCGACAACCAAGGTGAACCTGATGAAGATGGGAGAAGACGGATCGGCAAAGCAAGGGCCAAATTTCTACAATTGAAAAATACCTGGAACTCCAAACAAAGATCAATCAACACCAAAATCAGGATTTTCAATACAAATGTCAAGACGGTTCTACTGTATGGGGCGGAAAATTGGAGAACTACCAAAGCCATCATTCAGAAGATACAAGTGTTTATTAACAGTTGTCTTTGTAAAATACTTCGGATTCGTTGACCAGACATCATCAGCAACAACTTACTGTGGGATAGAACAAACCAGATTGAAGCAGAGGAAGAAACCAGGAAGAAGCGGTGGAAGCGGATAGGACACACACTGCGGAAAGCACCAAACTGCGTCACAAGACTAGCCCTCACATGGAACCCTCAGGGTCAAAGGAAAAGAGGAAGGTCAAGGAACACATTACGCCGAGAAATAGAGAAAGACATGAGAGGAGTGAAAAAAACTGGAAAGACCTGGAAAGGGAATTCCAGGACAGGGTTGGTTGGAGAAAACTGGTGGGCGGCCTATGCTCCATCGGGGGAACAGGCGTAAGTAAAAGTAAGTAAGTATAGTTTTGCAAGTTGTTCACTATTTTATATACTCTGTTCAGTATAACATATTTTCGTATGGATGAAGTCAGTCGAGTCAAATTGTCCATCATCTAATACAAGTATGCAAATCCTTTATTTAATAGAATAAATTTACGCTAATTTATTGAGTCGATAAATTAATTAAATCGAACACTTTCAGGCATAATGTATCATATGGTTAAGGCAATAAATTACGAGGTGAAATACTTGAATAAATCGTCGTACTACTGTTGATTAACGAGCCGCAAAGGTAACTGAAGCTGAGTATTTGTACTCGTGTTCGACATCAATGCTAGCCTATAAATATTGAAAACGAATCCACTCAAAAATATATGCAAAAGAAATATTTTGTTTTTGATTACTCAAGCGGTAGGTAAAACATTATTCTAATTGGTGATTTATTCATCATTTGGACATTACCACACTGAATACTTGCAAGCATATGTTAAACCAGTTAAAACATATTTAATCCTTGATTAAACCGCTATGCTTGTTGTCGTAGACGATCACTAACCAGTAAAATGTTCATTTTCTTGTATGTATCTTTATTAGAAATAATCATCTCTTCATAATGTGTACTTGATTTTGTTTCTAGAAAAATTATAGATATAGGCTGTGGCAATTCACTAAATTTATATTTCATTTGTCACTTAATGAAATGGCACTAAATCACCTGTTTCAAAACGTTTCTCCATGAAAATACATTAAAATCTGTATTGACTAAGATTTGTTCTACCTACAACTTTTACATAATAAATTCACTAGTGGTTAGTACCCGAATTGTGAAAAATTAAAATTTTACACAAAGTAATGATAAAGATCACCATTCATTGCTCCAATTTAAGCCAATAACTGATTCAAGTATGATGTTAGTGACATATATTAAGTTTGGGGTTCATCATTAGCTAATTCATAATGAACCATTACTCTTTACTCGACGGGATTAAACTATTTTCCAGAGTTTTCAAAGTTGCAAACAATGCATATATATATCAATATATTCTTCATATAATTATGGTTCGAGTGAATTGAACATTTAACGTAACAAAATCCTAGTGATAATATTTCATGTTTACAGATGTTATACTCACTGCCATGAATAGAGAGTCCGAAGCATTTATTAAAACTATCAACATTTCATAATATACTTACTGATTATTGCATAAAACCGAAACGTTTCTACTCAAATGAATTTAGATTTTACAGAGTAGGTAAAGTTTACCAAGTATGAAAATTAAATTAAGGAAGGAAATAAACAAAATAAGGATTTCCTAATTAATTATTGACTGTAGTTCATAGGATAAATCATATATTAGATTTATGTTTCCATAGTTAAACAATGAAGAAAAAACTTTGTCTGGATTTATTTTTTTCTTATCTATTCAAGTAATCATTTATATTATTTCTTTACGTGTTTATGAGAGCGTTGACCTCAGTATTATGATATTGAATAAAAACATAGTTATTTATAAGTCATCTACTCAGCATAGTGAAAGAATGAACTTGTTAATGTAATAAAGAATGCTATGATTTCGATTAAATCGATAAATACATGAGTATATGTTTAACCAAGGGAAAAAACTGATAAAACGAAATTCTGGAATATGTCATTTTTATTTTAGAGGAAAATGCGTCAAGATTTAGAAGAGTAGTTTAAAAGAAATTTAGCAGTAGTAGCACGCGTAGTGGGACTTTGTACGTATGTACTTCAGTTCAGGTTCCCATGCCACATTAGCACAGAAATCGGATGGTCAGTTCAAATCTCATAGTAACAGAGGTTTGAGAAGTATTGGCGGTATTGGAGGAGAATTATAACCCATTGAAATTAATACAAAAGTAGGAAAAAGGTCATGAGGAATTCGAAAGATTAGAATTTGAGAGAAGTTGAAGAATGAATGCATTTATGTTAGTGTAAACTATTTTGAGCCATGTCATTCCAAGTCTCTAACCATCGGTTAATATCGTCTCGTTGACCTCAAACATGGTAGTCTGCATCAACCAATAAGACTCAGTTCATTTATCAGTAACGTTATGGATTTGTGCCATGTTTTGGTATGGCTGTCCTAAGCTTTCTTCCAGCCTATCCTACACCACAAAACATCGCGCCTCAAGGCAGTCGATGATCAGGCTACTTCATCGATTGATCTGCCATCCTTACTTAGAACCCGTCTCCTAGCAGTAGCATTGCTTACATGGCGGTCCCCCAATATCTGAGTAGAGCTTCGAGGACACTACTTATCGAATACTAGTAACTTACGAATATTCTCTACACTTGATGGACATGTTTCACACCCATATGCGCAGGAGTCGGAAGAATAGAGAATATTTTAGCTGAAATAATCTTTACATCACTACACTCCCTTATTTAGATTTCCGAATAGTTCGCCACATAATGTTATACTATTCTTTGATAAACTAATATATTCTTTTGATTCATCACCTTACATATAAATACGTGTGTATATAACTGCATGACTTTATTAAATAATATCATTTAGAAGAAAATGTTCCTAGTTGAATTTTCGTTAAATATTCTTCAATAATATTCAATTTTGAAATAACTTTACAAAACGAAATGTGATACTGACTGAAATATATGATTTTGTATGAATCATTTAAAATAGCTCAACTAAGATGGAACTAGCCAATTTATAAAATTGAACTGCTTACGATTATGAACAAAGGTTTTTTATCATTACACTGAGATAGTTTATAATGTTTATGAACTACTTTGGAGTATAATGTTTTTATAGACGATGGTATACCAGTAAAAGTATCATTCAACTCAGGTTCATTCAATCAGTATTAAAATGAATCATTAATTATATAAATTAATGAATAAGATTTAGCAATCTATTACCACATCTTTCTGTTCAAATTTTTATGGACTTATGTTCAGGTTGTTGATAATCAGTCAGTAATAGCATGAACTGACATTGGGGTTAAATTAAAAAGGTTGGTACGTATTATCGTTTTCTATAAATTATAAGGATAATAAAGGTTTCATTTTGACAATTTCTGGTACTTTTCTTTCGTTTTGAACTTTACTTTTTTAGGCTTAGAGTTTCTATACCACTTGTATCATAATTATGGTTTGCATCTTATTAAATTACATTAACTGAATTGACATTTACTTCGGCTCTGACAATGGTCACAATAGTTTACAAAACGTAGAGGAAATTTACGCGAGCATATCAAGCTGATCCAAAATCATTACGTAATGTCTGCAATTGTAATTAATTTTTTTTTCCAGTTATTACATAATGTCCTTCCTTCATGTCTTCTTTTACAAGAAAAAGTTGTTCTGTTTATCAAGACAATTATCTGCATAAAATTTAATACGTTCATCAAATGATTACACTTTGTTTATGCATACAAGTTATCATCATTGACGAGAAATCAAAACAATAAAGACTTTTCGAATCCTGCGAGGTGCAGGAGTCATGGATGCGCACTGTCGATGAGTCCCATACCTGGAAGAAACAGCCGCCCAGTGCTCCTAAGTTTCTAATGGTGGTTTAATATTGATTGATTCATGGTTTTAAAATGCAATTAGACATAAAATAATTAGAGTGATGTATCCGGATAAGAAAAATTACTATCCTAATGACTGTAATATTATCATTTGTAATGATATCTATGATACTGACAAATAAAACAGAGGTATTTAGAATGTTTCTCTAGTAGAACGTTTTTCAATGTGAATATTTTTTTATCACAGTATCACGAAACGCTTTGCTAGACATAGAATTCATTTTATTAACATTTTTGGTTAATTTTTTTAAGCGAAAAAATTAGTTTTATCACATAGCTTACCGTAAAGTACTATAAATTGATATATCAAATGTTTTAGATCCATTTCGTCTGAGATAGAGGAATCATTTGTGATTAATAATGAGTTCACTACGATCCACTATTTTGAGACAACATTCATCGAAAAAATATAATTTTAAGTAATTTTTAACACATTAAATGATATTATTGTATTAAATTTAGTAAATGAGATTATTTTTTTCGATACATCGATATATGTCTATGTGTAGATAATCAAAATGAATTTCATCTTTTCTATACTGGTGAAAAAGTGTAAAATTGTAAATGTTTTCATTCGGGAAAGATTGTTTTATTGACATGTTTGCATTATATTCTAACTGTACAAATTATCCTCATTACGTAACTACAAATCATGAAGTGGTTTTCAACTCTTGAACAGTGTATTTTCTCTGCGATTAAAAAATACAAAATATTGAATTAAAAAATTGTGAATTAAAAAATTGTTAACAATGAAGTAAATATCAAATAATTCCAGTTTCTAACTTTGATGGAAACATATTCATAGTAAATTGAGAAGAAAATACACTGTTGCCTTTTATTTTGAAAACAAAAATTGTCACTTTTAATTAGATTAGATTAGATTTTTCGTGTTTTGTACGTGGTTTGAAAATTCCCTAGTACACGTCTGATTTTCAGTGTGTAAAACTAAATCAGACCACACCCAATGATCATGATAACATTTGGATTATTTGTATGAGTAATATAACTGATAATTTAAATACTGATTATCAAGTTTAATACGCATAACTTGTATAAAATTTAACTTCATTTGTTGAAGAATTTCAGATATGTATGTTCAATATCCCATTACATATACACGCACAAAACATACATATTTGCATACAAAATTATAAATAAACATCTATTCCTGACTGTTATCCAATCAAATTAGCAGACTGAAATTCCGTCATGTTCATTGGTTTTCATATAATCACGTTTGCACACAGATGCATGATCAATATATACATATTTATAGTTTGTCAACTGACTAATAAGGACATGATGAAGAGAAAATGATCAACAAAAACTTGGATCAAAATAACGTCAGTCGACTAAACAATAAATTTCATCGCTTCTGTAAATTTATGCTAAAAAATAAAGCGAAATTTTTAAAAAAAGTTTATGAAAGATAAATAATTTACGATGAGATTCATTGACCTGAAGTAAATTAGTAAAAATTTGATTTAAATATAATTTATAGCAGAGACAAATTAACTTGAAACTGCTTAACTAACAACTCATTTTATGCTTTTTGACTTAACTTCAAGCAACAGTTCAATAGATGAGTACACTTCAACGATTTTTACTGAATAGTGATTGATTTAAATATTTTTCATTCTGTAATTCATCAGCACTGTTATTATGTCAAGTATAACTAAGGAGTTGGCGTATATCACACTACCCCATCTATCTTGACAACCAATCAAGTCTGTATGTGAATAGTGAAATGTACGTCATTTCCAGAATTACCTTAAGCGACACTATGAATGACGTGTTTTGTTCTGTTTTGCCTCTCTTGGTTTCCAGTTTTGTTGCAGTCGTAATTGTTTAAAAGAAACTAAAATGGTTTGTTTATAGTACATTTGTATTGTTAATTATGGTCTATGTGAGCTGAGGTGTGATAAGTTCCCATGTTCCGAAGTTGGTTTTTCACAATGTTTTGTCATGTAAATATAGTGATAATTCATGGTCCGATTATTAAGCTGCTCTGCTGCAGGTTGGAATTTTTTCCTGTTCACCATACAATCGTACAACTTTGGTTTGAATTCATTTCAGTTCCTCACAGTTAACATCGATGTTAACAAACCTTTTATTTACCACCATCCAGTTTACCAGTTTGTCGTGAAAGCAACTTGAATTATGACATTTTACTGGGCAAAAGATGCTGCATTGGACATCGCCAATAAACGGCACAATACATCACATAAGCGCATCACAGTAAGAAGCGTTATTCAATATAAATGTATTACACACCATCGAAAAAGTTACAAGAATGGTTAGTTTAAAATATTAGTTTAAAATATTAAAGCAAAGATTACTTTTTTTCTTCCGTCTCATCAAATCATTTAGTCTACGTGCTAAAGGCCAGTCGATTACATTAGTACAGATACGAGAACTGGCATTCTCTAAATCTCAAATCCTGGTTTTCAGAGTTATTTAGTATTCTTTATTTGTCTAGTTCTTTCTTTATTTTTAGCTTATTCTGCTAGCCATAATATTGCTGTCATTTCTACTATTTCGGTAATTAATTTCATAATTTAATCTCATCGTGAAGTAGTGTGGCGAATTTGACCTATGAACATCTGTACTAGGTTTTTACATTGTTCATGATTGTTTAAGTAAGATAATAATGACGAGAGAAATCTCTTACATTTAGGAATGATAATGCTGACATCGAGAGAATTATTCAGCAAAATGTTTACTGTGTCAAATAATCATGCTATTTTTTTCAGGCAGAGTTTTGGAGGTTTGTCTTTTTACACATTTGAAATCATCAATCAATCATTGTTAGACCACCATTAGAAACCTGGAAGCACTGTACGGCCGTTTCGTCCTGGTATGGAACTCATCAGCAGTGCGCATCCATGACTCCTGCACCTCGCAGGATTCGAACCCCGGACCTTCGGTATCGTGCGCGAATGCCTAACCATAGGACCACTGGGCCGGCATCCAACGGTGTTAATGTCTAGCTCTGATTGATCTACGGATCTTTGCGCGACCTCACCCATTTGTCTTTGCTAGTTACTGCCTACATCCGACAGGGTTGAACTCCATTGGTCACGTCTTCTTAATTAGAACTCCGAGAATTTCCTTGTGAGCACTGTTACAATATTTTTAGGCTTTTGTAGCTATCCATGTTAGACATAAACTGGCTGACTTTCTACATCGCAGTTTTCATTGGACCAGTCGGATTTTTACATGAAATTCTCAAGTTGAAATTTGGTTAAAAAAATAAGAACAAACATAGAGAATGGAATTTAATTTCAATTGGTTTTTTCATCTTGGTTCAACACTAATATATTTATGTACTAGATTTACAACCATGAAAGCCTACTGAGTAGTCACATAACATAGTAATTACATATTTTCATAATAATATGTAAGATAATATTGCGTCATTGGAAGAAAAGGGATAATAATAGAAATAATAATAATAATAATCAAATGAATATTAGTAAAATTCAATTAGTTTCTATATAACATAATGTATAAAAAAAGAATTAACAGAATATTTTGATAAAAAGTCATTATTATCGTAGTCATGTAAGAATCAAGAGACGGATGTTGAGAATATGTAAAATTATAAAAGTGGAAGAAATGAGCAATTTTGTTCAATATTTTAGAAATGATGAGTGTGGTCAAAGTTAAAATTAGCGCTCACTGCTATACCGAAAATCAAGGTAGCGAGTATGGTTGTACAGACTTCTTTCTGGACATAGATTGCGACTGTTTCAGCAATATGAGAAGTTTGCTGGATATCCTTAAAAATGATACTTAAGTTAATCTGATGTCTTGTATCAACCAAATGAGCTGGGATAGAACGCCTAATCCTTCTTGCTTAGCCGCTCGGTTAACGAGGATGGATGGTGTTCTGCAATAAGATGATGGACTTGTTGAATTTTTGTCTCCATAAAATTGTCCCCGCAGAAGCATTTAAAGTGATAAATACATACTGATGTTGCGAATTCAGACAATCTATCTTTATTGGTGGTCTGTATTAACGATTGATTTTAGAAAATCACATTCAATTTGGTTGCGAGGACTTTTTTCTGCACCATCATTCTTAGTCTCTGAGTTACATTTACCCAGCTTATATCGTTTGGGAAGTGTAATCTTAAGAATAAAACCTTCTCTGAAATGATTATTACCTTGGATCTTCTTTCCATCTTATGCATACTTTTTTGCGAATTTCATCAAATATCCATTCCTTCTAAGTATGTTACGAATAGTACTTAATGCACTTCAGTAGTATCAACAAAGCCAATCATTCTGGCTCAGTGAGTTAGGATTTTTAACGAGTTTCCTTCTGTCTACCACATCATGCTTTGAATATCAAGCTTTTGGAGTTGAATTTCAAAATTCATTCTACTAAACATTTTCTTAAATTCACAAAACGTAGGACTTAGAGATAACGATTCTAGTTCAGTCTTATTGACATGAACACTGGAAAAACTGTGTACGAACGGACCTAGATAAGATGGAAATCTTATTCCTGGAATCCTTTTACTTTTATTTTTCTCTTAAGATATACCAAAACATGTTTTTTAAACAATCGGGAAAAATTTCCACACCGTAAAAGTTGAATAACTTAAGAGAACTGAATCATTTCAGCTCATAACAAATTTTCAATATAATTAAGCATTTGTTAGACATGAAGTTTGTAGTTACTGTATGGATTGTCACGCAGTACATTTTGTTTAATTGTTGTCGTATATCTGAATGGATGTATGTATGTAAACGAAACAATCTGTTTCATATTTTGACCAGATCAATATAATTTGGCGTCTACTTTATTGATTTGCTTGTAAAAACAATGTGAACTAGCTACGTACAATCTGTTTATTTCAATGCAGTTAATTATGCTGTAGAAATTCAGTTGAAATCTTATTGTTACATTTGACAATCTTTTGCATTTACTGCATGTTAATTATCGTTTCTTCGACTGCACAGTCGCATAGTTAACAGAAAGAGATTTTATAACTTAAACCGAATATCAACATAAACTTCATACAAAATTTAAAAACTAGTTAGAACGCACTAACCACCTGACATTCGTATACTGTTTGCCTTGTCTTATCATTAATTTATTTATCTCGATTATGAATAAAAGCAAAACATTTGGCTAAATTTAGTCAATGGATGATTTGGTTTTTAACATGTATGCACCATAGACTTTATGCATAGACATTATGCATCTTTAAAATTTTTTAAACATTTGAAAAAAAAAACACAAACTCTTCAGCGAAACAACTGTGAAGAACTTTTTCAGTCTATCACTAACCAACCCAGCAAAGAACAGTATAGCTAAAGGCATGTGATGCAGTGAAACTAATAATAATATGATCTAAAAGAAAAAACATGCAAATAGAACAGCTTTGAAGGCTAAACTGTGGACTTTCTTAAAAAAAAATAAGTGTTTAGAATTTCTTAACAAAAATTATAATAAGTACTATGAATACTGAAGGAAATATGTCTATCATTTTTAGGTTTTCATTTTGATGGACCTGTTTTAAATTTGCAATTAAATTTACGTTGCTATACTGCACTATGATATTCTCTGTCTTTAAATTATATATGTCGGAGTTTATGTCCCTGAATATCAATTATATAAAACCATACGTTAGTGATC